AGACTATTATCGCTATTTAATAAAGTAGAATGTATTCAACTAGAATTTCCATCTGTAATAATTAGGTTTAGGTCAGAAGGAATTTCAAGAACAAACAATCCAAATTAAGAAACTTGAAAACAAATGCCAAAGTTAACCGCACAGTCGATTATAATTCAGTTCGAAAGTAATACAAGTTCACTTTCAATTAGAAGAATAATGAGGTATGTGAAGTCAATATTAACCACCTATCTTAAGTCTATATTAACCATCTATCCAAAGTCTATTTTAACCATCTATCCTAAGTGTATATTAACCATCTATTCTAAGTCTATATTAACCATCTATCCTAAGTCTATATTAACCGCCTATCCTATATCTATATTAACCATCTATCCTAAGTGTATATTAACCATCTATTCTAAGTGTATATTAACCATCTATCTTAAGTCTATATTAACCATGTATCCTAAGTCTATACTAACCATCTATCCTAAGTCTATATTAACCATCTATTCTAAGTCTATATTAACCATCTATCTTAAGTCTATATTAACCATCTATCTTAAGTCTATATTAACCATCTATCTTAAGTCTATATTAACCATCTATCCTATATCTATATTAACCATCTATCCTAAGTCTATATTAACCATCTATCCTTTATCTATATTAACCATCTATCCTATATCTAACCATCTATAATATCTATATTATCCATCTATCCTAAGTCTATATTAACCATCTATAATATCTATATTATCCATCTATCCTAAGTCTATATTAACCATCTATCCTATATCTAACCATCTATAATATCTATATTATCCATCTATCCTAAGTCTATATTAACCATCTATCCTATATCTATATTAACCATCTGTCCTAAGCCAAGGTTAAAACTGAGAAGCTAAGGTAAAGAATCAGTTAATATATGATGTTGAAATAAACCGGTTGTTAAAGTCATAAACATTCTGTATTTATTGTATGTTCAGTGATCCCTAAACGTTTTGACATGAAATAACATATTTTTTATTAAAGATAACAATATCATATTCCAAGAACCTTTAGGTAAAGAATTGTTTTCCATAGCGATAAGTTATCATAATATGTTTGACAAAATCTAGCATGTTTTACCTGTTTTCTTATTATTGGCAAGAAGTGGCGTCTTTGTTCTCCGTTATTTTGAAATTGTTGAACAAATAGATTTTTTTAGAAAGCATGTATCATATTTTAATTTAAGTCCAAGTTAAATATGAAACTCATAATTTAGAGAATTATTCTATGCATATTAAAGAGTTTTTTTAAAACACGTGCACACAAACGTTTAAAACCAGAGAAACGCAATATATATATATATATATATATATATAA